TGATATAAAAATGCAACAAAGTCAAAAGCCATAACTTTTACATTTTTTTTAAATTTTATTGAATGAAAGCAAAAATGTCGGAAATATCGTCGAATATTAGAATAAGTTTAAATTTGTTCGAATTGTTCACCTTTGCCTTTCAAACGGCCAATGAAACCGTCACACGCTGCCCGAATGTTGCTCTGCGGTATTTTAGTCCATTCCCGGCGAAGCACTTGCTTAAGATGATCGACACTTGGGTAGTTTTTAGTGCCAACCTTCCTTTCAAAAATACTCCAGACACAATAGTCCAATGGATTGGTATCCGGAGATTTTTGTGGCAATTGTGCGCTAGAAATAAAGCGAGGAACCTCATTTTCTAACCATTCTTGGAGAGCGGCCATCGGCTGTTATGGCGGCCCACACCATCACCATGTCCGGCGCTTGAGTTCTGGTGGCCAACCGTAGGTTTACATTTTCAGCTGACCTCTTTGGCAAGTAAACACGACCATTTTGTTTGTTTACAAACTGCTGGACAACGAATGTTTTCTCATCGGAGATAACCAAATTCGGCAGTTCACCACTTTCGGACAAGCGAAGCAACTCTTTAGCTCTTTTGAGTCTATTTTCTTTTTGTTGCGGTGTAAGTTCTTGCACTTTTTGGAATTTCTACGGCTTTACCCCGACTTCATTTTTCAATATTTGCCGGATGGAACATTGTGATATGTTCAGCTCACGAGCCATTTTTCAGCCACTGCGACGCGGGTTTCAATCAAATCGCTTCTTTACTTTTCGAACCAAGTCTGCTGTTATTGTTGTTTTCTTCCGTCCAATTCCTTAACGTCGGGCTACGCTACCATTATCACGGTAACGAGCCATAGTACAACACACAAAAGATTTATTCACATGCTGGAGTGCTCTAACGATAGCCACTTGTGGTTCTCCAGCTAAATATAAGTAAATCATACCATCACGCTTGAATTCCATCACGAATAACTTTTTTTCTGGAAAATTCTCACCAAAATGCTTTTGTACGCTTGTAAACAAAATAATGACCTGTCACTGGAATAATTTCAACAGCTGTCAGACAAGTGGCTTAGAAATGACAGCAGACTGAAGTTGGTTGCAATTTTTTCATCTCACTCTTTACATATTGAGTCGATAGTCTTCCTTAGGGTGGAAATACGTAAAGCGCATATTTGGCTGGCTTAAGTCATCGGCTGGCTTCTTCGTAAATAAACAAAGTAGTTTTAGGTTGACTTAGTTCGATTTTGGCCCCAGGCTCCTTTGTTCATTTCCGAAGAAGCCAGCCAGATAAGCGCTTTTTGTATTCCCACCTATGTAGGTTTGTTCACACACAGTGAACTCTAAAAAAATTGCATTGCAAACAAATTTTGAAGAAATAAATGTTTCATCTTTCTTTGTTTATTCAATCCATTCTCAATACTTTGTTTATCTTTTTGACAAACAGCTGATATCTAAACAAACAATTAGTAGTCCGTTTTGGCTTTTGCATGACAAATGGCAATGGGAAATCAAAGTTGCCTAAAAATAGTATGATCTTCTCGTGCATCGTTTAAAATGTACTCTTACCGCAATGCCAAGTACATAGCGATTGCAAAATGAAATGATAACATAGCTTTCTGAACACACACCTCGTATTGACCTTGACGTTGCATGTGTTTCCCATTCCCGTCATAGTAACGCAATATAAATTGCGATTAGCGATTATCGGTAAATGTTCTGTGACCGGACCCATTGTTCGTAGACATACGGAACAAATGTTAATCAAATCCGAATCGAAATTATATTTTTATTGTTTTGATAAAAGAGCCACTGCTATTTTAACGTCGCGTCCAGCAGGGGAATGAACAAGTGACTAAAAAATTAAGTTCATCTGCATTTAAGATGGACAATAAATAAATCTAAATTAAGAAGAACTTGGTCAGTGACAATGAAAAATGCAAATGACATATGAAGATTTTTGCCAATCATGCCGAAATATTGGTCACGTAGGCATATTTTGTTATCAGAATTTTATTTTTAAATGGTACAATAACAACAGACAACGGAGGCATTAGCCTTGAAATACCTAGATTTCTTTAGAGTGACAAGCGAAATGTTGAAATTATGTTTTGCTGGGATAAAGGATTATTCTAAAGGTGAGAATACATACAACGCTTTTCTGACTGGCTTAAGTCATCGGTTGGATTCTTCGTACAGGAACAAAATGGAAAATCGAATCGAAGTCAACCTAAAACCCCTTTGTTCCCTCACAAAGAAGCTAGCCAATGACATATTTTTTCATTGTTTTAAAATTTAATATGAATATTTTTTCATTGATTTCCGAACCAATAGTCATGGATTTTTAAGAAAATTATTTAAAGAGCTTTCATAGTTGCAATGGTGGATTTTTTACGATTAGAGACTTTAGAGGTAGTCTCACTTGCTAAACCGAATATGGCAACCCTTTTGCAACGAGCTCGATCTTATTGTTATATCTAAAATATTTACGTATGACGAGTGGCATATTTTATAAAAACAATAAATAATCTGTTATTTTCGCCATATATATGGCACGTTAAAGCTATTATTTGTTCCATAACTCAGAAAGACATATATTATTTATATTTTCTTGACCTCAAACATATAAAAATAGATATTTTATATCCTTCATGTTTTAAGGCAATTTTCTTTAATGGCGTTTTATTTTAAGCCAGTTTGTAAGGATTAAAACTGCAGAATAACCAGCTAAAATAACCAATACCTTGTATATGGATTCTGTCCTAAAACAAATACTAAAGGTGAGAATACATAAAACGCTTTTCTGACTGGCATAAGCCACCGGTTGGCTTCTTCGGAAAAGAATAAGGGAGCCAAGGGCCAAAATCGAACTAAGTCAATCTAAAACTCCCTTGTTTCTATACGAAGAAGCCAGCCTAAGTCATCGGCCAGTCAAAAAATCCTTTAATGTCATTTCACCCTTAAGGTGAGGGTACATAAGCAGCTTGAAGTCTTCGCATGGCATATTCTGTGACATATCAGAGCCATATTCAAATCCTGTCGTCGTTTACCTTATAATTTGACATTAATATACCTAGCCATGAATCCAAGCTTCTTATGTATCCTCATCTTTACACTGAAATTTGTCCGTAATAAATGTGTACAAAATATTTTGTACATACTTTTGAGTGCGGTTGAGGCGCTTGGAAATCTAACCATTAAAAATAAATATTTTAAAATTGTCAGTTTCCAAGTGGTCATAAAATATCACATGTGTACAATTCAGTGATCTTGTGCGCTGTCGCATGCGATAATATGTAGGATAATAAATATCATAACCCAACCACACAGATACCGATGCGCCAGTATATAGCCAAGATCACTTGAATGTTTTCTTTTAAATCTAATAATAGATACGAAGACTTGTGTGGCTGCGATTAGGTTAAGTTAGATTAGTTTCAGTAGTACTTAAGGAACATACTTTAAAATAAAATCCAGAATTGAATCTACACCCACTTTCCTTTTCTCACTCTACATTGCTCCAGTCGAGACGAATAGAGAATAAAGTTGACAATCGAAGAGGGAGATTGGATTCTATTTTCATTATTAAAACATTGATCCTCCGAGCAGAATCTAGAATACAATAGACAATCGAAAAGGGAGATTGGATTCTATTCTCATTAATAAAAACATTGATCCTCCGAGCAGGATCTAGAGTACAATTGACAATCGAAGAGGGAGATTGGATTCTATTCCCATTATCAAAATGTAATGCTAATTTGAATGAAATTGTGGAATGTCATTCTTCTAACAGAATTTTAGGAAAACAAGGAACGATATGGTCGATATTTTCCCTTTTAGATTATAATCTTTTCTGAGAGAGGGTATAAAAGGTGTAAAAATGATAAAATATTTGGTCGTAAATAAATGTAAATTTCTTGCCATTTGTACGCCCACATCTAAGGAAGAACTATGAAATATAAAGTTGACTAAGAAGGGACATCAAAAAAATTAAAATCCTATGATTGCATGATATTACCTTGTTAATTGTACCATGATTAGTTCTAATAATCGTGGATTTTATAAAATATTTTTTCAATGGGTTTCTGAGATTTTGTAGAGTAATCTTTTAGGGTTTTTGAGGATATTTCAGAGAATTTTGAGGATATTTTCGAGGGTCACAGTGGTGGAATTGCAAAATATACTCACTTTAATGAATGTTTTACTGGAGTATTATCAGATTCTTTAACGTGTATTTTTGAGAATTTAATTCAAAATTTTTTTTTTATAATATACATATATTTTTTGAAGATTCCGGGCATGGTAGAATTAAGAAGGTAAATTCATGCAATCATATGTTTACAATATTTTCTCCAAGTTTTTCATTTGATAACATCTATTTGTCAATATGTATGTTTATTTATAAATCCACTGTATATAAATAAATCAAAGATGGAAACCTGTTTTCTCTACAGTGAAATGTGACAAGGTAAATTGCAAAAAAAAAGCAGAGATGGGAATGATTATTTCAAATAACTTTACCTTCTTAAATTTACCATGGAATGAACATCAAATAAAAAAAATATAATCTTATTTACGACACATGGTAGAATAAAGGAGGTCAAGTCATGCAATCATATGTTTACAATTTTTTCAAAAATTATTTATTTGGAAACATCTCATTGTCAAAATTTGTATTTATAAGACCATTGTACATACACAAATCAGAGATGGGAAACTGTTTTTATGTAGTGAAATGTGACAAGGTAAATTACAGAAAATTACCATCGCACTCCACTAATAAACAAACGTTGTTTTTATAAAGATAACAATAAAGGGATTAAGCCTGACCATTTTGCAACAACAAAATACTACGGTATCCCAAACAAACAAGCCAACACTGTTCTATTTTTTAAAATATTGAAGAGACAAACCTGGTTTTTTAAAGAAACCTACAAACATGGTTTTTTGAGAATATTTTTCAACAGATTTTTGTTTGACAATTATTTGTTTCTGCCAATAAACCTTGACGTCTTTTTTTATTATTTTCCTTACAAATCTTACAAAATAATACCTAAAGCTACCATACATTTATCGATAAAACTTATAATCACACATAAAATTCAGCGGTTCAAACAAAAACATCTTCCCACATACCATTTCACCTGGAGATGTGATACTCGGGCACGCATTAGGCGCCATCTAAGGGCGAAATATGCTAGCACCGTAAAGAGAACATAGTAACCCAACAGAAATAGCACGGATCGATTGTAATCCACATCTAAACTTCCCACCAATCTGAGCAGACTTTGCGGCTTGGCCATTAAACAGAAAAATTCCGTAGGCGGGCAAATCAAATCGGCACGATTGAATTTGAACAATGCTGCCAAAATACCTTCCAGCGAGTGACGCAAACAGCTGGTATACATTATGGCTCTTTCCAGTGTACTTATGTGGCCACGTTCCGTGGCATAATTCGCCAAGATAATAAAGACTGCAATGGAGGCGGGACCGATGAAAAAGGCTTGCTGTAAGCAAAGAGAAATTAACAAAAATGAAGGGGGAAAATATTTAAGGCTAGTTTAGACATTATGATATTCACATAGATAGTTTACACATGACTATAACATGATGTGTAAACAAGCCTTTAGAAATTTTGAAAAAAAAACTCACCTGCAATTTAAGTCTGGCTCCAAACAGCAGACCCAGACTTGAGGCAACCATTGACGTGAGAAATATTATCCCCGTGAATAAGGCAAAACGAAAGAATTGCATCGGCTGTTCGGTGAAGAAATAAAGAATTGCTGAAGCCGATATGGACATGATTATAACCGACAATACGTGTGAAGTTAACAGGGCCATAAAATATGAACTCAGGCAGTACCATTGATTATAGATTTGCCTTTGCAAATATTTCATTTCTGGACCAGCTACAACGACAAAGCAAAGGATGTTACTTTTTAAAGTAGGGATTTATAGATCAATAATTGTACTTACTTGTTGCTATCACCGGACACATGGCTGTGAAGACACACACCACCACCGTCAGCATGCTCAAGTGATAGTTGTACATGCCAAAGTAAGCATTCCTACCAATGCCAATATACGCTACACCAATCAATGATGCTAGGAATAGATGAGCAAATATTCTTAAGCTAATGTTGATCTGGAGAGAGAGGGAGAGAGAGAGAAAGAAAGAATCAAAAGCTATAGTCGTTTTTTAATTTTTTATTTCTTTTATTTTTATTCAACGTTTTAGAGATAGGGAAAAATTTTATGTTTGAACATATTTTTGGTAGAAGTTTTAGGGTGGGAATACATAAAGCGCTTATTTGTCTGGCTTAAGTCATCGGCTGGGTTCTTCGGAAATTATCAAAGGAGCCTAGGGCCAAAATCGAACTAAGTCAACCTAAAACTCCCAGTTTAAAACCTACAGAGGTAATTCGAAACCATGGTAGAATTACGAAGGTAAAGTCATACAATTATATGTTAACAATTTTCAAAATTATTCGTTTGACAACATTTCATAGTCAAAATTTGTATTTATAAATCCATTGTACATACACAAATCAGAGACGGGAACCTGCTTTCTATGCAGTTAAATTTGACACGGTAAATTACAGAAAATACAAAGATGGGAATGCTTATTTGAAATGACTTTACCTTCTTTTAATTTTATTCTGGGGTTTCGATGCTGTATTTTTTCGATCATGGTCAGTCTGTCATGGTAGAAGAATACAGGTAGACCAATTTTGGAATTGAAATTTTTGAATGATAAATTATTTGAATTTATAAAAATTTTTGAAAACGCACATAATAATAAACTCCGATTGACGTCGTATAAGAAAACATATAAAAATTGAAAAAAAAAATTCCTTAAAGGCATGTTTACGTTAGAGCTTTTTTCGGGGTAACTTTCGTCATGAAGATTTACTTGAGGTATATGCAATGGAATTGACAATTTAAACCGACTGTGTTTTCTAAATCCTTTACAGCGTAAGCGTACTATTAGATAAAGTATATAAACCAAGAAACCCGAAATAATATTCGTCTTTCCTAAAGGTGAGAATACATAAAACGCCATTTTGACGTGCTTCTTCGGAAAAGAAGATGTGCCGAATCGAACTAAGTCAACCTAAAACTATTTTATTCCTCCACGATGACTTAAATCAATAAAAAAAACGTTTTATGTATTCTCACCTTAAGATATGGAACAAATAACTGTTTTTATGTGCTAAGGAACGCCATAAAATACATTATTTATCATTTTTGTAAAATATGCCATTCGTCATGCGTAAATATTTTAGGTATGAAACAATTTTTATTTGATAAATAACAGGGTCGAGTTTCTTGGAAAGGGGTTGCCATATTCGATTGTGTAAATGACTTTCATAGTTGCAATCGTGCAAGTTTATATTTAGCATAAGTCACCGTCTGGCTTTTTTGTAAAAGAACAAAGAATTTTAAGACTAAAATAGATCAATGCTTAAATCGTTATATTTTCATGCCGATGTCACTATTTAAGCTTTGATCTATTTTAGCCTTTAAAGTACGTTTAGATTTGTGAAATATACTCGATGTCAAATGTTAGCTTCATAGCCCACACGTCAAATAATATCCACTGGATTTATGAATAGGATTTACGTGACGTATACGCTGTGGAATAGACATTTGAATCGAGTAGTCTAAACATATTGTTAAGGTGGCCTAATTTAAATTATAGATCGAAATTGAACCAATTCAACATACCCATCTTTGTTCTCTCAAGGTGAGGCCACATAGAACACGATTTTTACTGGCTTAGCTTATAGGCTGGCTTCTTCGTAAAAGAACAAAGGAGGAGTGAACTAAGTCAAATTAAAGATGAGAATACCTAAAGCGATTTTTTGAATGGCTGGCTTCTTCGGAAAATAACAAAGGAGCTTGGGGCCAAAATCGAACTAAGTCAACCTAAAACTTCGATGACTTAATTCAGTCAAAAAAGCGCTTTATATAATCTCACCTTAAAACTCCTTTGTTATTTACGGAGAAGCCAGTCGATGACTTAAGTAAGTCATAAAGGCCTTCTATGTATTCTCACCTTTATGAAAAAGCCAGGCCATGATTATAGCCAGAAAAAAACCTCTCATGCATTCTCACTTTAGGATATCATTTCTTGCACTAACCGACCTTTTTGTAAAATAACAACGGACTCTAGGGTTTCCTAATTTAAATTATGGGCCGAAATTGAACTAAGTCAACCTAGGCCAGTCGGTGACTTATGCTAGGAACACAATTGGAGCGAACGACGAATTTTTTCGCGGCGTATGTTCGTCGTCAAAAATAAAACACATATGTGTATATGGAAGTGCACACAATCACGGCACCGGCGAAAATTTCGTCGGTCGCCGCGAACTCAATTAGCTTTATTTCTATTTCATACGCCGGCGACCGGCGAACAAAACAGTACAAGGTGGCCATACTTGTACGAATTTTATGTGTTTTAGTAAATAAAGTTACTTTTTACTTTAAAATTTGTTATGGTCACTCTACTATCTGTTACTCGTATAAAAAAAACATAATTAATTTGTTTATTTATTTGTGTACTTGCGCCTGAGTGAAGATGGATATCAGTGAATTTATAATAGAGAAGATGGACATAAGTGAAATTATAATAGAGAACGTAAAGAATTATGCTAGGAACACAATTGGAGCGAACGACGAATTTCGCCCTACGCGGCGACAAAATGAGCCGCGAAAATTCGTCGTATGGAACACAATACCGACGAAATTATAAAACAGCTGATGAAGTTGTTTACTTTTTGCTCATTTGTTGACTACAATGAATTATACAAGAACACATAATTCTTTACGTTCTCTATTATAATTTCACATATGTCCATCTTCTCTATTATAAATTCACTGATATCCATCTTCACTCAGGCGCAAGTACACAAATAAATAAACAAATTAATTATGTTTTTTTTATACGAGTAACAGATAGTAGAGTGACCATAACAAATTTTAAAGTAAAAAGTAACTTTATTTACTAAAACACATAAAATTCGTACAAGTATGGCCACCTTGTACTGTTTTGTTCGCCGGTCGCCGGCGTATGAAATAGAAATAAAGCTAATTGAGTTCGCGGCGACCGACGAAATTTTCGCCGGTGCCGTGATTGTGTGCACTTCCATATACACATATGTGTTTTATTTTTGACGACGAACATACGCCGCGAAAAAATTCGTCGTTCGCTCCAATTGTGTTCCTAGCATTATGTGTTCTTGTATAATTCATTGTAGTCAACAAATGAGCAAAAAGTAAACAACTTCATCAGCTGTTTTATAATTTCGTCGGTATTGTGTTCCATACGACGAATTTTCGCGGCTCATTTTGTCGCCGCGTAGGGCGAAATTCGTCGTTCGCTCCAATTGTGTTCCTAGCATTAAGTTGCAAAAATATAAAAGGTTTTTTTTACCGGTTTAGTTCATCGGCTATTTTAGGTTGAATTAGTTCAATTTCGACTCAACACATTTTAAAAGAAAAAATAAAGGTGAGAATACATAAAAAGTTTTTTTGACTGGCTTTTTCGTAGAGAAACAAAGCAAAAACATAGAAGTATAAAGATGGGACAAGATAGAGTCAAAATATGGCAACCCTGTGAAAATTCCTCTGTTGTTATGATATCATAACAACATAGTTGCAATTTTTTGGAAAGGTCTATGGAATAGAATTTTGAAATAATATTTTTGGATTTTTCAAACTTTTATATTAACATGCCTATGTCATGAGCTGTTACACTAGGTATTGTAGACACAAATCATTTGCACTGAATGCATTTTCTCTAATCTTTACCATTTTAGGTCTTTGAACAAGAAGCCAACCCATGACTTAAGACAGTCCAATAAGCGTTTTATGTATTCTCATCTTAACAGCATTTCCATTACCTTATCTCTAACTGTTTGTAAAAGTATTCTCTGCAACAGCCATTTGTATTGTAGCCACCAAGAAGTCTGCGTGGAATCTTCTTTCAATTCAATATCACATACCAAATCCAGATTATTCGCCGGTAATGTAAGTCTAATGACACTACTTGGTGCCGGAGCATTTTGTAAATTTTTCTCTGGCATTGGGCGCCATTTGAGTACTTTACCATTTTCCATAGCTCTGACCATGTTATCGTGAATATTGCCATAGGCATTGGTAGTGGCTTCAATAACTGGAAAAATAGTGTCAATTTCAAGTCAGGTTAAAGGTTCATGAAAAAAAGACTTACGAAAATCAGCTGGATTATAGCTAATCGGACACTTGAGACCAAATAATTCCAAATACTGGACAACGTCTTGAACAGCACCCTGATAGACACATTGGCCTTCGGCCATGGTGTAAAGATTGTCAATTAATTGTAACAGTCGACTTGAGGGTGAATGTAGGGTACAGATGACAGTGTGACCATTCTGGGATAATTGTTTCAACTGCAACAGACACTGATAGGCTGTGGACTCATCTAAACCTCTGAAACACAAGTGTTCTTAAATACAACTCTAATAGCCACATAATACAGCTCTAATAAATTGATATTCTCAGGGTAGAAATCTTGATCTCCAACTTACGTTGTTGGTTCATCGAGAAATATAACCACCGGTTTATTGATCAACTCCACTGCAATGCACACACGCTTCAATTCCCCGCCCGATATATTTTGTATCCTTGTGTTCGCTTGGTCCTGTAGGTTGAAAAACTGCAAGAGAGTTGTAATTGTGGCAGACCGTTGCTCAGGACTGCACTGGGGATTCAGTTTAAATTTCGAAGCCATCATCATTGTTTCGGCAATCGTGAAATGAGGACAAAGGTAATCTTCTTGCAACACATAACGGGAAATTTTTCGAAACTTCCCCCGATCCAGTGGCCTATCATTGATGAATATGTTGTCCGTTTTAGGTTTGATTCTGGAAAATAGTAAAAAAACACAGTCAAACATGGTTATGCCAAACTCAACAAATAAACTCCGAGGTAAACGCTAAAAACAAATTGTTTTGAATCAGAGTTGTATTTAACTACCACATATTTATTGATCCTAATAAATGCTAACAATTCGAAATGAGAGAACGAAAGAAATGTACACGAACTGTGCTGTTCTTTTTTATTTTGCATTTTATGCAAAAAATCATATTTATGGATGAATTTTGTTCTGCAATATAACTTTATTTATAAATAATGAAAATAGGGAACGCTGTGATCGAAAAAGGACATATGTGCATTACATGTAATGGCAAACTTAACATTGTGTTTCACAACTAAATGGCATGTATATATCACACGAAATGTGTAACTTTTACATATGGAATATTTCCCACAACATATGTAAAAAACACTCCGTCTGATACAGCATTCAGACATAAAGTCAGTTGTCTTGTATTTTTGAAACGCGGCAATTTTTTTTACTCCTGAAAGATTATAGATTAAATTTTAGCTATGCTTTAGGGTGAGAGTACATAAAAGGCTTTTTTGACTGGCTTAAGTCATTTGCTAGCTTCTTCGTAAAGAACTAAGAAGTTTTAGGTTGACTTAGTTCGATTTCGGCCCTAGGTTCCTTTGTTATTTTCCGAAAAAGCCAGTCATAAAAGCGTTTTATGTACCCTCTCCTTTAGATCTTCTAACAGAGAAAAACCACATTTGAATTAGGTAGTACTTGTTCCTTATTGCGTTACCAGAAAAGACTTTAACAAGATGACCGGGGGTTATAAATATGTCTTTGTTCTTATGATAATCGACGAGGCTGCAATGAAAACCAATAAAGAGATTGGGGCGATTAGTTCAAATAAGGCCCTTTAATATTTAAAACCCATTGATGTCGAAATTGAACTAAGTCAGCCTACATCATTGGCCTAAAGATGCGGATACGTACGTAAAAGATTTCATTGACTGGCTTAAAGATGAGAATACCATGAAGCGCGTTTTTGTCAGGCTTAAAGGTGTGTATTCATAAAACGCTTTTTTGATTGGCTTAAATCACCGGCTGGCTTCTTCGTAGTGGAACAAAGGAGTTTTAGGTTGACTTAGTTCGATGCTTTCCCAAGAAGCCAGCCAATAACTTAAGCCATTAAAATAAACGTTTTATGCATTCTCACCCTAAATTATCGGCGGGCTTCTTCGGAAAAGAACAAAAAAGCGTAGGGTTAGGTTGACAAAATCGATCTATGTCAACCTAAAACTCCTGTGTTCCTCTACGAAGAAGCCAGCCGATGACTTAAGCCAGTCAATAACGCGTTTTATGTATTCTCACCTTAAGTCATCAACTGGATTCTTCGTAAAAGAACAAAGGATTTTGACCCATCAGTAGTTTTAGGTTAACTTAGTTCACTTTTAGACCAAAATTTATACATGTTCTTTTACAAAAAAAGCCAGCCAATGAATTAAGCCAGTATATCACCTAAAGGTAAGGCTTTTTACTGGCTTAAGTAATCGGCTGACTTCCTCGTAAAAAAGCAACGGACTTAATTCTTTTTTGCCAAAAATGCATATTTGTTTACCCTACGCTCTATTGATCTTTTACCAAAAAGTCAGCTGATTGATTAGGCCATTAAAAACTTTTTCTTTCTCATCTCACCTCACCTCAACTCTGTTCATATGATATGATAACACCAGATGTGAATCCACCTGATGTCAATATGTTGACTGTAATATCCTGTCTTTATATCTCTATGTCCCGTTCTTATATCTTTTCTCTATCTAAACGATAAACTTCACATGATCAAGTTTTTATTATTACATCTTCCCGTTAAAACAAATGCATTTTTACAGAGATATGGCAGTTTTTCAATATAAAATAAACGATTAGCAGTATCCATTTTTTTATTTAAATAAATTTTGCTGTTATTGCCATATTATCAATACAAAATATGGCAACGTGAATTCAGTAAACTGTTCGTTAAAAGATAAAGGGAAGATGGTCTGACCTTTTGCTTATCGCACAGTTCATATTTAAATGATATTTGTAATAACAAAAACCGATTTTTTTGTTCGACAACATAAATTTTTATGCATCGAAAAGCCCATGGTAGAAGAAGATAGGTAGACGCGTCGACACAGCTGCTGTGACAATGAACTGTCAAGCCAATTTTATAACTGAAAATGTTGAATGAAAAGTTATTTAAATTTGTACAAATTCTTGAAAAAAGCATATCGTAAAAACCTCCGATTGGCGTCGTAAAAGAAAACTTATAAATATCTATTTATTTTGAAAAATTTTTTTTGACATATCAATGTTCCCAAGCGTTGAAGCATCTACCTGTAGTGTAGGTTGACTTAGATCACTTTTGGTCCTTAACTTAAACTAGGTCACTCTAGTCCTTCGTTTTTTTACGAAGGAACTGTCAAATTCATTGCGTATACGTCGAATGAAATTTGCTGGATTTGAGGGTCGACTTCATTTGATGTAGAAAATATATGGACTTTGTTGTTATGATATGTGCTTTTAAACAAATTTCAATAATTTAAATATTCATTTTTACAATTTTTGACAGCTCATTATACCAACAGCTGCGTCGATGCGCTTACCTGTATCATTTTATGATAATGTAGACAGAATGGAATTGACATTTGAAATCCACTCGATTTAGTGCATCTAAACGTATTTTTATGCCAATCTCTTATCATGGTAGAAGAATATAGGTAGACGCATCGACACAGCTGCTGGGACAATGAACTGTCAAACCAATTTTGGAATTGAAAATGTTGAATGAAAAATTATTTAAATTTCTAAATTTTTTGAAAAAATGCGAATTATAATAACCTCTGAATGACGCCGTATAAGGAAACAATATAAAAATCTACTTATATTTGAAAAAACATTAATTTTTTTTGACATATCAATGCTGCCAAGCGTTGATGCATCTACTTTTATTCTTCTGCCATAGTATCCCCCTCAACATCTTTTGTTTATTTACAATTAAGCTCCTTAATTTTGCCCGTTGTAAAAACAGGGCTGATATCAATCGGACCAACCATGGTGAAATAAATAGGTAATCCATTTATGTCAGCTGATCAATAGATTAGTTATCAAAAAAGCATATTGCGATAGTAAACAAAATGTAAACCGAGGTTTTGAAATCTGGTGAAACAACTAAGTATTAAGTCGCGCTACTACCATACATATGCGTGTCAAACGGCGTTAATATCTTTTTAATAAATGCTATTAAAAATAATGATTTAGATATATTTTTATTTAAATAATTATTTTAAAAAGGTTTGTTTTGTGCTGTATATAAAACACAATGACATTTTATTTCAAATGGCGGGTGAATTTTCAATGTCATACGTTTTATACCAGCAGCTGCGTCTAATCATTTAAAGGAATATCGATTAGATTTGTGATTTGAGAATAGTACGTGAATGAGAATAGTACGAGGCCTACATTCAGTGATCGACAAGCAAACAATATCTTCAGCCTTTACAATGGCCAAAGCAGTCTAATAGGACCCAAAGTCCGATAGAAGAGAATGCTAGCTCACGTGATTCCTTTTAAATAATCTCAGCAATTTGTGCAGTATCGTCAAAAATATTTATGTTTTCAATATATTATGTTTCGGAATTATTTCAAATTTGGTATTTGAAGTTGGATACTACAGCCTAAAAGTGGGAATACATAAAGCGCATATCTGGCTGGCTTCTTCGGAAATGAGCAAAGGAGCCAAAATCGAACTAAGTCAACCTAAAACTCCTTTGTTCATCTACGAAGAAGCCTGTCGATGACTTGAGCCAGCCAAATATGCGCTTTATGAATTTCAACCCTAAGTCAGAAAACTGTTTGTGCAGGTCCACGTCTTTTGATGATTTTAGCGACATTATTCACCGGAATTGTTTCAAATTTGGTATTTGAATTTCGTAATGGATACTACAGCCTATGACAGAAAATTGTTTGTGCAGGTCCAAATCTTCATATAGCCCGTATATAACGATACCTCCCGATATTCGGTATTTTGATGATTTTAGCTACATTATTCACCGATTTTTTTTTAGTTTCGCATTTGAATATTTTAATGGCTTATGACAAAAGTTACCTATGCAGGTCCATGTCATCGTATAGACCCTAATTTAACAGCTATATTCTTTATTTTTAAGATTAAAAAAAAATTAACGGATTTTATTGTTTTTGAGAAATGCTAAATTCGTCTCAAATGGTGGAGGGTATTCAAAATTCGGCCCGGCCGAACTTAAGCTGGGAATACGTAAAGCGCTTATTTGGCTGGCTTAAATCAACGGCTGGCTTCTTCGTAGATGAACAAAGGAGTTGTAGGTTGACTTAGTTCGATTTTGGCCCTAGGCTCCTTTGTTAATTTCCGAAGAAGCCAGCCGATGACTTAAGCCAGCCAGATAAGCGCTTTATGTATTCCCACCTTTACAGCTTTTTTACTGGTTTAAATACATGTATGGCCCTTAAGATTTCCTAGAACATATCATTAGTCCGTACAGACCCTAACATATAAAGGCGGGAATACATAAAACGTTTTTTTTTTTAATGGCTTAAGTCATCGACTGGCGAAGGGCCAATATCGAACTAAATCAATCTAAAGTTACTTTGTTCTTCAACGAAAAAGCCCGCCGATCGATGACTTAAGCCAGTCAAAAACGCCTTTTTATGTATTCTCACCTTTAGTTCAAACAACAGACGACCGGCATTTGCCTATCTAAATGATGGGTAGTTTATATTGCACTTATATAAATGCACTTGAACACTCACCTGTAACTTGCCAACAGATTGATGAGTGTAGTTTTTCCAGATCCAGATGGTCCAATAATGGCTGACAATTCACCGGCCCGAAATTCACCACTTAAACCATTTAAAATTTGTTTCTGAGCTTTTAGAAAAAAAAACAAAAATATATTTTTAATATTTATCACTTCAACATACTCGATGCGCTGGGATTCTGTCAGATTTTTTTTTTGTTGATAATTTCAATGTTTTTTTTTTATAATCATTTCTATTTTTGATAATGTGTACATTTTCAATGCAACTTTTTTGAGAATATTAAAATAAAATACTATATTTTAGTGTGCGGATTTCCCACTGGCAACTACAATGAATCATTTCATCAAATTGTGTACGAAATTAAGTGCAACAGAAATATTTCTGAATGACATATTCCACTAAACAATTCACTTCGATCAGATAAGATATCTCAAAATTGTAGACACGCCGATTATTAAACATAAATTTAAACAAACCCCAAAAAAAAAAACCAAAAATATTGCTTGTCATAATTTTCATTCATTATTATTTTTAGAGAACAGGAAGTCAACATGCATTGCATTTTTCGTATACATCACCATGGGAAGATGCACTTTTGTAGCGTGTTTACACACAATTATTTGAAAGAGATTAACGGTGATATCAATCAATCAATTACAGTTACTTTAACATATGTTTTCCATAGTCAAGTTTATTGTGATTAGCCATTTATCACGTTTAAACCAGATAAAACATTGTATGTTAACATGCTATTATGTCAATCACATATATTTAGAGATTAGAAAGTGTCGCCAATAAAAACTGCAATCACAATTAACATATGCCTGCCAATTAATGTTAAATTTCGATTTTTAGTGCATTGTCAGCATTTATCAACTTAAACCTGATTGTATTCCACAAGATTTATCAAACAATTCTTCTTTAAAAACCCGTCCATAATATATGCATACTTAAATATATATCAACTCCGTGGCATTTATATCTTCTCAAATGCATACAAGAATGACTTGGATTAATTCAATAGATATATTAAATGCAGAGCTTTGCTACCAATTGGAACAAGGAACATGACTACTCAATTCCACTCTTTTGGGTCACTAAAGTCGATTTAACCATGTCCGTCTGCCTGTTGAAATCACGATATAGCCCAAATCATTTAAAGTACAGCTTCAAAATTGTATGTTGTTTAGGATGGTTGGTATTGAAAATAGGATATATCTGTCCAAGTTTTGCTATAGTCGTCATATAACAGTACCTCCCAACATTCGGTCCTTTAATATTTTTTGTTTATTTTTTTCACGGATTGGTTTAAAAATCTGTATTTGTAGTTCATAACGGGTTCTAGCTCCGATGGCGGAACATAGTATGTATAGGTCCAAGTTTTGCTATAGTCGCCATATAACGATATTCGGTGTTTTGATGATTTTTGCCACATTTTTCCACGGATTTGTTAAAAAAAAATGGTATAATGGGTCTAGCTTCGGTGACAGAACATTGAATATTTAGGTCCACGTTATAAAAATAGCGCACATATAACGATAACCACCGATATTCGGTATTTTGGTAATCCTAGTCACATTTACCCACGAAATTGTTTCAAATTTGGTATTTAATAAGATTTGGTAGATGACAATCCTTGAAGTATAAAATTGTCTATAGAGGTTCCCGTTTTGATATGGTCTCCATATCAAAACCGCATTATCCAAACGGTCTTACTGTTATTTGTAGTTTAAAGTAGAACACTATTGAATTCTGATACTTTTATATAAAAATGTTTCTTTAACCAATGGTGGAGGGTATATAAAATTCAACCCGGCCGAACTTAATGTTTTTTTTTTACTTGTTACTGGATTAAGTCATCGGCTTCGTTAAAGCACAAAGGAGTTTTAGGTTGACATAGTTCAATTTCGGCCCATAATATATACATGCCCACCCTACGCTCCTTTGTTTTTTTTTTTTTTAATGTAGTCAGCCGATCACTTAAGCCTGTCAAAAAAGCGTTTTATGTATTCCCACCTTAAAGCAGTTTGGGAAATAGGTCACCAGCCCAGTTTCTCTTATAGCAAGTTTACATTAGAACTTTTTTATACCCTCCATCAAACGGAATATACATTTTAGACCCCACAAAAAATACCTATATCCTTGATCAGCATAAAATTCTATGTCGATTTAGCGATGTCCGTCCGTCTGTAAAAGTCACTCTAGCTTCCGAACGAAATGAAGTAGGTTCATAAAATTTTATTCAAATGTGTATTATGTCTGCAGGACTTTTGGTATTGAAAATGGGTGATGTAGGTCCACGTTTTGGTATATCCACCATATAAGGGTCCTTCCTTTTTTCGGTATTTTGATGATTTTAGCGACAATATTCAAATTTGGTATTTGACGTTCGTAATGGATACTAAAGCCTATGACAGGAGATTGTCTGTGCAGGTCCACGTCTTCGTACCTCCTGATATTGGGTATTTTGATGATTTTACTGACATAATTCACCGGAATTGTTTCAAATTTGGTATTTGAAGTTCGTAGTTGATACTACAGCCTAGGACAGAAAATTGTCTGTGCAGGTCCACGTCTTCGTATAGCCCCAATATAACGGTACCTCCCTATATTCGGAATTTTGATGATTTTAGCTCTATTATTCACTGCATTTTTTTATTCAAGTTTCGCATTTGAATATTGTAATGGCTTATGACATAAGTTGCCTATGCAGGTGCACGTCGTCGTATAGACCCTAATATAACGGCTACATTCGGATTTTTTTTTTCCTTTTTGAAAATTGCCAAAATTATTCCAAATGGTGGAGAGTATTCAAAGATCGGCCCGGCTGAACTTACAGCTTTTTTACTCGTTCTTATTTAAATTAATAATTTGTCTGCGCATTTTTCGAAGGAAACAAAAACTAGAGAAGAGATTCTAGTTGAACTTTGGGAAAAGAATATGGATTAGCTTTGAGTAGCCAGAAACAATTCCCATTTATGCAAATATTTTCGTAGAGGAATAAATCAAAGATATAGAAGTATAAAGATGGGACAAGACAGAGTCAAGATATGGCAACCCTGTGAAAATACATCTGTTGTTATGATATCGTAACAACATAGTTAGAAATGTTATGCGATTTAAACCGCTTAGGCAATATGCAATTAATTTGGAAAGTCTATGGAATAGAATTTTGAAACCCAATTTTTGAATTTTTCAAACTTTTGTTTGTCATTTTTTTCTATAAATGTGTTTTTTATATTAACATTGTCCTGTCATGAGCTGTTATCTAGATAGTATAGACACCAACCATTTGCTCAGAATGCATTTTGTCTAGTCTTTACCATTTTAGGTCTTTGAATAAATGAGTTTTAGGTTGACTTAGTTCGATTATGGCCCTACGCTCCTTTGTTCTTTTCCGAAGAAGCCAGTCGATGACTCAAGGCAGTCATAAAGGCCCCTTATGTACTCTCACCTTTACTTCTTATGCAGTTCTCGTATAACGTGTTTTTTTAAGTCATTATTTAAGGATCATAACTCCAAGACTAACCAACTGAAATGTTGCCAAAAATAAAAACTTTCGCTGGCAACGTTTTGCAATGAATTTAATAATTATTCGACTAAAAATGCTGGATGACAATCTTCTACCAAAACCAAAACAAGGGGGCTATATTTTTAAAATTCATACTTGTCCTAGCTGCAGCAAAAATGATACTTTGAAGTTAAATTTAATCACTTCCAAGTCAAGTCTCACATTACTTACAATACTTATATTTCAGCATCTGTTTTAGATTATATTCTTCCTTAAAGAAGTCTATAACAGGCGTGAAAATTGCAAAATATTTTTACGGAAATAAATTTAAATGTATTGGCCAGTTGTGCGCTCATATCTAAAGGTGAGAGTACATAAAACGCTTTTTTAACTGGCCTTAGTCATCGGCTGGCTTCTTCGTAGAGGAACAAAGCAAAGACTTGAAATTGTAAAGCGTAGATATACCGAACAAATGGTTTGTGTCTAGACTATCTAGAATAACAGCTCATGACAGAGGGATATTATTATAAAAAAACACAATTATAGAAAAGAATGACAAATAAAAGTTTGAATAATACAAAAATTTTGTTTCAAAATTCTACTCCATAGCCTCTCAATTATTGGCGGTTTAATAGCCTATTGCTTTGGCGCATTTAAGGTATTTTCACAGGGTTGCCATATTTTAATTCTGCCTTGTTCTATATTTATACTTCTATGTTTTTGAACAAAGAAGTTTTAGGTTTACTTAGTTCGATTTTGGCCCTTCGCTCAAAAAAGCGTTTTGTGTATTCTCTTGTATTTTCACCTTTTGGAAGAACTCAATAATGATTGCATGAGAATACCTTTGTAATTGTACCATGGTACAAACAAAGAAATAAATAAATGACAAACAATAAAAATGAATAAATTTTCAATTACAATTGTACAATTGTTTTAGCAACAGTCTGGTCGCCAACGTCACCTAGGCTTTTTCTATTGACAACTAATACCTGAACTCAGTTGTCTTTCGTTTTGTAAACGCAGGGTGAACGAGTGATTTGGCATTTTAAGCCTTAGCAAATAAATATGGCGTTTTCTTTTGCATATTTTTATTTACCGATCGCTGTCGCAACTACCACTCAATGGCCTAGAATTTAATATTTTTTGTTTTCGAACCGAGTTGAAAAAAGTATTAATCTTTAACAACAATTTGGTCGTAATTATAGTTTTAACATTTTGAACGGATTCGCTGGTGTAAGGGACGATTGGACCCCTAGTTGAGATGAACATCAGTGTAGGTTAATTTTAATGTAAACAAAATCCGCAACGGAATTGTACAATCCACAAAATTGAAAGGCCACACACGTATTGGCAGCAGGGTGCAGTAATCGTGAAGGGTATAAAAAATACGGCACGTCAGAACTATTTTCTTTTTTTTTACCCTCCACCATTCTATGGAGGGTATATTAGCTTTGTCATTCCGTTTGTAACTCCTCGAAATATTCATAATAGACCCTATAAAGTATATATATTCTGGATCCGCGTAAAATTCTAAGACGATTTAGTTATGCCCGCCTGTCTGTCTGTGTGTCTCTCTGTCTGTCCGTCTGTCTGTCTGTTGTAATCACGCTATCTTTCGAACGAATTGAGATAGAAGGCTAAAATTTTGCACACATGTTTATTATTATTATTATTATTATTATTATTATTATTATTATTATTATTATTATTATTATTATTATTATTATTATTATTTAAGTTCGTAAATGGGCCATGTAGGTCCACGTTCCCCCATACATCGGTACCTCGCGATATGCGATATTTTGATGATTTTAGCGACACTATCCACCGGAATTGTTTCAAATTAAATATTTGAAGTTCGAAATGGATACTAGAGCCTAAGACAGAAAATTGTCTGTGCAGGTGCACGTCTTCGTATAGCCCCCATATAACGGTACCTCCAATATCCTGTATTTTGGTGAATATTATATATTATTAAATTACGTATTTAGAGTTCGTAATGAGAACTACAGTCTGTGACAGAAAATTGTCTATGCAGGCCCAGGTCTTCATATAGGCCCCATATATCAGTACCTCCCTATATTCGGTATTTTGACGATTTTAGGTACCATACTCAAAGAAATTGTTTGAGATGTCGTATTTAAAGTTCGTAATGGATGCTACAGCCTGTGACAGAAAATTGTCTATGCAGCTCCGATATAACCGTACCTCCCCATATACGATATTTTGGTGATTTTAGCCGTTCACCGTTTATTTCAAGTTTCGAATTTAAATATGGAAACGGCTTATGACAAACAATGCCTATGTAGGTCCACGTCGTACAGAGCCCAATATAATGCTATTTTTAAGATTTTAACAGAATTTTTAACGGATTTTTTTTTTTTTTCTAGGATGATTGGTATTGAAAATGAGATATATCGGTCCACGTTTTGGTATATTCCCCATATAACGGTACATCCCCATATTCAGTATTTTGATGATTTTTTGCCACATTTTTCATGGATTTTTAAAAAAATTGGTACTTCTTGGTCGTAGTGGGTTCTAGCTCCGGTGGCTTAACATTGCATGTATATATCCACGTTTTGGTATAGCACCCAAATAACGGTACCTCCCGATATTATGGTTGCATGGTTTACCAGTAGGCAGGTTAACTTCGTAAATGGGCCATGTCGGCCCCCATACAACGGTACCTCCCGATATTCGGTATTTTCATGATTTTAGCGACATTATTCACCGGAATCATTTCACATTTTGTATTTGAAGTTCGTAATGGATTCTACAGCCTGTGACAGAAATTGTCTGTGCATGTCACATCTTAATATGGCCCCCATATAACGGTAGTCGGTATTTTGATGATTTCAGACACATTATTCACTGGAATCGTTTCAAATTTCCTATTGGAAAATCTTAATGGTTCTACAACCTATGGCAAAAAATTTTTATATGCAGGTCCACGTCTTCGTATAGCCCCATATAACGGTACCTCCCGATAGTCGGTATTTAGATGATTTCTGACACATTATTCACCGGAATCGTTTCAAATTTTGTATTTGAATTTCGTAATGGATACTACAGCCTATGAAAGAAAATTGTCTGTGCATGTCACATCTTGACATGGACCCCATATAACGGTACCCCCCGATAGTCGGTATTTTGATGATTTCAGATACATTATTCACTGGAATCGTTTCAAATTTCCTATTGAAAAATCTTAATGGTTCTACAACCTATGGCAAAAAATTTCGTATGCAGGTTCACGTCTTCGTATAGCCCCCATATAACGGTACCTACCGATATTCGGTATTTTCATTGATTTTAGCGACATTATTTACCGGAATTATTTCAAATTTTGTATTTGAAGTTCGTCATGGGTACTTCATCCTATGACAATCATTTTTATATGCAGGTCCACGTCTTCGTAGGGCCCCCATATAACGGACCTCCCGATAGTCCATGTATTCTTGTGAACAAAATGCAGGTCGCATTTATTATCCGATTGAGATGAAATTTTGCACACATCATTTGTTTGGCCCAAGGACGAACCCTATTGAAATTGGAGATAATCGGTCAAAATTTAGATATAGCTCCCATATATATCTTCGTCCGATTTGCTTTTTATTGTGCACCAAACGTGTAATATCAGCCCGAATAGTATGGAAGTTTGCACATACAACCAGATTAGGCCTAAAAATAAGTATGCCAAATTTGATCGCAATAGGTTCAAATATAACTATAGCTCCCATATATATTGTTCATTCGATTTGTTATTTTTGTCCTCCGCAGCCGTAATATGCACTCTGTAACAACAATATTTGGGGAAATATATCAAATACAGCTTAGAAATATCTTTGCCAAATTTTATCGAGATCGGTTCAGATTTGGATATAGCTCCCATATATATCTTTATCTGATTTAAAATTAATTTTGCACCAAATGGGCAATACAAGTCCGAATTTAAAAGATACAAATGCTTCGGCATATTTAGTCAGTCGAACTTTAAATTATAATTATAATCATAGCGTGTATGATTGAATTTTCCCATAAAAACTTTTAATTGGTATGTGGATCTCTACTAAATTAGCAAAGTGGTGTAGGGTATCAAAAAGTCGGCTCCGCCCGACTTTAGGACTTTCTTTACTGGTTTTTTTTTTTTTTTTGAAAATTTTCAAATTTCTTCCAGATGGTGGAGGGTATTAAAAGTTCGGCCCGACCGAACATAGCTGCTTTTTAACTTGTTAAATAACTAAATTAACTTTTTCTCTAACTGTGTTTGATCTGCTCATTTGATTATTACCAATGCAAAAAATAAATAAATTCAAATATTTAACCCCCAGTTCATCTATGTGGTTATGAAATCATCTAAGTTTGTGTGTATGTAAAGCCACACTGTTTGTTTTATTAATTAATCAATTAAAGAATTGTTGGTTTTTTAAGCAGCTTGCACTTTTTTTATAATTTCACTTGAAAATTTTCGATATTCTTTTTTTTTCATAGTTTTTTTTTTTTTTTTTGTATTTACTTCGATCTTCATTTCGGGCAAAATGCGTTAGATCCACAAACTTGATATTGACACCCGCAACTCGCGACAACGATCGCAATTCATTTCCATGCTCGGCCGATGGCGACAATGCGCGGCACTCAAATTCGTTCATTTCAACGTTGAAAACAATACTAAATAGAATTGATATTCACTTGAATCTATTATCGAAATTTTTTGTTATCAACCCTAACAAATGGTTTTATTTTCATTTTTTTGTGTTTTTGCTGTTGGCGAATTGTTCCCATATGTATGTATGTATGTAGGTATTCATGCATGTACATACATGCATATACAGCTAGAAACGTATTTATGTGTGTACAACTATTTAACCCAGTCTACACTTTTTCTAAACATCCATTCACACAAATGGGAGTGAATGTGGGGTATGTGTTTACATTTGGATGTTTTTTTATACCCTCCACCATTGCATTAAATTTGTCATTCCGTTTGTAACACCTCGAAACATACATTTTAGACCCCACAAAGAATATTTATTCTTGATCAGCATAAAATTCTATTTCGTTTTAGCGATGTCTGTCCATTTGTGGAAATCACTCTAGCTTCCGAACGAATTGAAGTACATTGATAAAATTTTACTCAAATGTGTATTATGTCTGCAGGACTTTTGGTATTGAAAATGGACCATGTAGGTCCACGTCTTCGTATAGCCCTCATATAACGGTACCTCCCGATTTGCAGTATTTTGATGATTTTAGCGACATTATTTACCGGAATTCTTTCAAATTTGGTATTTGATGTTCGTAGTGGATACTACAGCCTGTGACAGAAAATTGTCTGTGCAGGTTCACGTCTTCGTATAGCCCCCATATAACGGTACCTCCCGATATTCGGTATTTTGATGATTTTAGCGACATTATTTATCGGAATTGTTCCAAATTTGGTATTTGAAGTTCATAGTGGATACTCAAGCCTGTGACAGAAAATTGTCTGTGCAGGTTGACGTCTTCGTATAGCCCCCATATAACGGTACCTCCCGATATGCGATATTTTGATGATTTTTAGCGATCGGAATTGTTTCAACTTTGGTATTGGAAGTTTAGAATAGATACCACAGCACAAGACAGCAAATAGGCCATGTAGGTCTACGCCTTCGTATAGCTCCCATATAACGGTACCCCCCGCTATTCGGTATTTTGATGATTTTGGCGACATTATTTACCGGAATTATTTCAAATTTTGTATTTGAAGTTCGTAATGGATACCACAGCCAATGCCACCAGAAAATTGTCTGTGCAGGTCCACGTTTGGAATAAGTTTTTGGAATAAGTTTAGATTTGTTCGAATTGGTCACCTCTGGCACGAATTATGGCCTTCAAACGGCCAATGAAACCGTCACACGCTGCGCGAATGTTGCTCTGCGGTATTTTGATCAATTTCCGACGAAGCGCTTGCTTGAGGTGATCGGCACATTGGCATTTTTTAGTGCCAGCCTTGCTGTCCAAAATACTCTAGACACAATAGTCCAACGGATTGGTTTCTGGTGATTTAGGTGGCCATTGTGCGCTGGAAATGAAGCGAGGAACCTCATTTTGTAACCATTCTTGGGTGGCTCGTGCTGAGTGCGATGGTGCTGAGTCCTGCTGGAATGTCCAAGGTCTGCGGCCAAAATGTTTGCGTGCCCGAGGCTTTAATACACCCTCCAGAATATTTTAGCGATAATATTCGGCATTTATTCTGATGCCACGGTCGATTAGTACAAGCGGAGAGCGACCATCGGCTGTTGTGACAGCCCACACCATTACCATGACCGGCGCTTGAGTTCTGTTGGCCAACCGAAGGTGTACATTTTCAGCTGACCTCTTTGGTAAGTAAACACAATCATTTCGTTTGTTTACAAACTGCTGGACAACAAACATTTCCTCATCGGAGAAAACCAAATTCGGCAGTTCACCACTTTCGGCCAAACGAAGCAACTCTTTTTAGTTCTTTTGAGTCTATTTTCTTTCTGTTAGAATTTCAATGGCTTTACCCCGAGCTCATTTTTCAATATTTGTCGAATAGAATATTACGATATGTTCAGCAGCTCACGAGCCATTTTTCGGCCACTGCGACGTTCCTATCGCTTTTTTACTTTTCGAACCATTTCGGCTGATGTTGCTGTTTTCTTCCGTCCACTTCCTTGACGTCGGGCTACGCTGCCAGTAACGAGCGATGGTACGAGACACAAAAGATTTATTAACATTTAAATGTTGGAGTGCTCTAACGATAGCCAATTGTGGTTTTTCAGCCAAATGATTGCAGATTTATTTATTTATTTATTTAATCTATTAGTCTATGGATAATTCCTTACAGACTATATATGTACATAACTAATAATTGTATAATTAAAATTAAGAATTTAAAAACATTATTATTTTACTTTTTATAGTATTAATATCCATTGTAAAATCGATAAAATTATAAAACGAGTTAAAATCTTTTGAAATTCTTGTTAAAGGATCAGCATTTGCATAGCCCATCCTGGAGATTTGAATTGCTAGTGGTGCATAGTGGCGGGTAGTACGTTGAGGAACATTGAAATTTATGTTGTTATCAAGAAAACCAGCAGAAATATCACCCATAATCACATTATAAAAAAATGAGACATTTAGCATTTTTCTACGGCTTTCCAGAGTTGGCAGCTTGATCAGTGAGAGTCTATCAGTGTATGGTGGAAGATTATCATATGAAAAGTTCAAACTTCGTAGACAGAAAAGTAGGAATTGTTTTTGAACAGACTCGACGCGGTCGCTGTGTGTTTTATAAATTGGATCCCATATGACCGAAGAGTATTCCAAAATTGGGCGAACAATTGACATGTATAAATTTTTTGAAACATAAGGATCCTTAAACTCTTTACTCCAACGTTTCACAAAACCAAGAACTGATTTTGCTTTGTTTATAGAAACAGAAATATGAGATTTAAAGTTAAGTTTACAATCCAATACAACTCCAAGATCAACGAATGTATCAACTTTTTCCAGAGAATAGTCACCGAGGGTGTAACAAGTATCCAATAATTTTTTTCTTGTGAATCTCATAAGTTTGCATTTCGAATAATTAATTTCCATAAGATTAATGTTGCACCAGTTAACAAACGAATTCAAATCATTTTGAAGCGACTGATTCTTACATACCTCCGAAATGCTAAGAAATATTTTCACATCGTCGGCATACATCAAAATATTTGAAAATTTTATAGATGAAGGTAGATCATTTATAAATAAAGAAAACAGGATTGGTCCTAGATGACTTCCTTGTGGGACTCCAGAAGAAACGAAGAGTATCGAAATGGCATTTTTAAAACATACTTTTTGTGTTCTATTTTGTAGATATGAAAAAATCCATTCGGAACTTCTATTTGTAAATCCAATGTTTTAAAGTTTTAATCGTAATAATTTATGATTAACTTTATCGAATGCCTTGCTGAAATCTGTGTAAATTACATCAGTTTGCTTTCCTTGAAGAAATCCTCGATTTATAACTGTAGTGAACTGAATGAGGTTTGTTGTTGTAGAACACTTCCTCTGAAAATTGGAATCACGCTTAATTTTGCTATTCCTCGGTAATTGGCCACATCAGATTTATTTCCATTTTTAAAGAGTGGAATGATATACGATGTTTTCCAAACCTCAGGAAAAATAGCTTGAGTTATGGAAGCATTGAACAATATGGTAAGAGGATAAACAAAAGCATCGGCGCACTTCAGCACTTCAGCACTTAGATATAACATTTATATCACAGGATTCAGCATCATCGTACTTTAAATTTGGTGGAAAATCGGTGGATTTGCGCTTCGAATTGACAAATTTGAAGAAAGACTTCGGATTCTGTTTAAAGTTGTTTTTGAGTTTTGTCAGATAATTTGAATAGCAAATATTATTCATAGTAGTATATTCAGACCGTGCTACAGAATATCTTCCGTAGTCAATGGAAGATCCTGTCTTTTTATATTTCTTATATTGTTTATTTTTCACATTTTTAGCCTTTGCCAAAGCTGTAGAGTTCCATGGTGGCCCAGAAAGCTTCTTAATTACATATTTCGGTACGCTAATATCAATAAAATCGTATAGCTTTTTGTAAAAAAATATCGATAGAACCATTTAAATCGTAAGTGCTAGAGAACAGGATATCCCAGTCTGTGTTATGCATAAGTTCACGTAACTGCTCAAAGTTTGTTTTCGAAAAACATAAGGATTTCTCACTTTGAGTCACGGGTATATTTTGATAGTTGGATGGTGCTGGTCTTCGGGGAATGTTAACGGATCAATTCGTTGAATGTAACATTCATCCACTTGATTTACAAATATCAGGTCCAATAACTTATTATAGGTGTTACGGATACAATTTATTTGAAAAATACCAAGATCAAAAAGTGTATCGAAGAATAATTCATAAAATTTGTGTATATTTTCAGGCAGCAGGTATTTATCCCCAGGTAAAAAATTCCACAACATGTTTGGTATATTAAAATCGCCAAGTATACAAATTAGATCCTCTGGCTTAGTTTTTTGTAAAACTGCTTTTAATGCATGGCTATGCTTTTCATAAATTATTTGCGGTGATGATGGAGGAATATAAGAGCATGTTATAAACATTTTTTTCAAATTGTTTTTTACTTCGACGGCAATGAACTCAATATCTAGGGAAGAATAAAGATCCAGTAATTGGCAAGAAAATGTATTGGAGACAGCTATGAGCAGATGGTTGGAGTTTTTTCATCTCACCCTGTTTGTCACAGGGTTGTCATATTTTGACTCTGTCTTCTCTTTATAGTTCTATGCATGGTAGAATAAAAAGGTAAGGTAGAGCTCCCAGCTGATTAAATTTTTTTTTTCTAAATGTGCCCGACTTCTGCCAATTCTGTGTATGTATTTGTTGTTTTGAAAAATAAAAACAAAACATTTTCAAAATCAATGATTGGAAGAAACTTAAATTGCGGGACGCGCATTAATAACATTAACCAGATTTGCCATGGAATTGAAAGATTGAATACTTAGGAACATATTATTTACAGAACATCCAGGAAAGATGAATGAAATGATTTTTCGCCCTTCTGGTCTCATTTTAGAAATGAACCAAAAAAATATCAAATAAATGAAAACCACCTGTTGCCTATAATTGACAAGAAGCAGGCATAG